TACCATTGCTTATTCACTGGGGTTTCTTGGTGTTAGATATCACAACAGTTATTTATCTTTCGTTGAGTTCTACAAATACTTTGTATATTACAACCATTGATGTGCAAATTAACAAACATTTTGTTTCCTATATTATTAAGTATCTGACTCACTGATGTCCAAAAAACTAATTTGGCCACCTGCTGTGAAAAAATATTTGCCCCCTTCCTGATTTCTTAGTTTTTTTTGTTGTGTATTTGTCACACTTAAATGTTTCAGATAATCAAACAAATTTTAATGTTAAAGATAATAAGTGCATTTAACATCTAGTTTTTACGGTAAATGAAAAAAGTTAATACAAACCTACCTGGTCCTATGTTAAAAAGGAATTGACCCCTAAACCTAGTAAGTGGTTGTGTCACTCTTGCCAAAAGAATGGGAATCAAGTGTTTCTGAGAACTGTGGAGGAATTTTGCTCCACTTTTCTTTGTACAGTTGTTTTAATTCAGTCACACTGGAGGGTCTTCTAGCATGAACGGCCTGTTTAAGGTTGCGCCAAAGTAGCGCCATCTGATTTAAATCAGCATTTCGATTAAGCCGCTGAAAGCCTTTCTTTTTTTTTTTTTTGACGCATTCACAGGTGAACACGCTGGTGTTTCTGATCATTGTCCTGCTGTATAACCCAAGTGCTCTTGAGCTTCAGGCCATGAACTTGTGGTTGGACATCCACCTTCAGGATTTTCTGCTAGAGAACAGAATTCATGGTTCCATCAATTACAGCAAGTCGTCCTGAAACAGCAAAGCAGCCTTTAGATGTTGTTCTGAGGTTTTTTGTGACCCAAAAGTGAAACTGTCGCTGTGCTCTTGGAGTCATTTGGATAGGCCGGTCACTCCTGGGAGGGTTCACCACTGTTCCAAGTTTTCTTCATTTTTGGATAATGGCTCTCACTGTGGATCCAATCCATGTTCTGTGGATCAAGTGGGGCCAATTACTTTTTTCCACACAGGATGAGGACGAAGTAGGCTTGGACAACTTTTTTGCCTTAATAAATAAAGTCATTTAAAAACTGTTTGTTTGTATTTACTCAGGCTATGTTGGTCTATTATTCAAATTAGTTTGATGATCTGTAACATGTAAGTTTGACCAATATGCAAAAAACTAAGAAATCAGAAAAGGGCAAATACTTCTTCACCACATTGTATCTATTCTTTGAGTTGCCACCACCAAGTCAAGTCAGAGTTTTATGACTCTGGCCATAAAACTCAAAAACCATACTTGACCTAAATTAGGCAAAGTTGCATCCTTGGATCACTTCCAAGAACATGACTTTAAGGAAAGTAGCTCCTACTTTCCTTAAAGTCATGTTTTGACAGTTACTATATTTAAAATGCAAATAAATTGCATTTCAAACTGAGATGATGCAAACAGAGAACTCAATTTTCAACCTATTATGTGCAGACATGAGATGAAAAAAACTTAATTTTTTTTTTAAAAAAAAGCAATCACAACCTCTCTTTTTATTATTTTATTTTTTTTGCAATTCTGACCTGACGCAAGCCACCTTCTGGTTTGTTTGTCAATCAGAGCTAAATTGCCAGGTCTCTCTTGGAAATGAGATTTTTAATCTCAATGAGATTTTTTACCTGGATAAATAAAGGACTAATAAAAATTAAAAATCTCTGGCTCTCATTACCAGTGATGATCTTAAAAAGCTGTACCCATCTGGCACTTAAGTTGATATCCACCTTCTGCATACGTCTGTCATTCATGCATGATGTATTTAGCAGTAAAACAAGGCAAGTAGCATTTCCTATAGGACTTAGATGAAGTAATTAAAAATTAGCCTAAGTACTAAAAGCAGTCTTTCTTACAAACTTGATGACTAATGTTTGTAAATATCTAAGTACTGGTTACAACAATGAAGAAAACGTTGCACTACCAAGAGACAATACTTCTGACGTTTCCTACCTGTTTTTTATGTGGTAGTATATGGCCAGTGCAACACTGCAAGAGACAGAAATCAACAAAGAATAAAACACTAGAGCTGGATTTTCCCTTTTACAGCTTTTTATTTTTACTTCTACTTTACAAATAGATATTTAGATCTTTTCAACTGCAGCTATTTGGTGACTTTAAATGTTACCTGCAGTTCAGGACAAACAAACAGAAACATTTTGCAAATAATTAAACAGTAGACTGACAACATGTCAGTAACATAATTGTGTATAACAAGAGGATCTTAAAGGGGACGGAGTTTCTCAGAAGTAAAGATGGGCCAAGGTTTAGTAATCTCAAAAAAGCCTATGTACAAATTGGGGAACAAATTCATGCACAGATGAGGAGACTTTGAATATCTAATAATATTCAGTACATAGTGAGATTAAACAATTCACAGAACTGGAAGAAATATCTGTGCACAAAGGACAAGGCTAAAAATCAGTGCCTATGATCTTCAGGTGGCACTGCATTAAAAACAGGAGTATCTATCAGTGCCTACTGAATTGGTAGCTTGGACATCTGGAAAAGCATCATCAATGCTGAAACGCATATGAAGGCTTTAGAGCAAGATATGCTGCCGTGCAGAGAGCTTCTTCAAGGAGGTTTTTGCATATTTCAGTAAAACAGTGCTAAACCACATACTGCATGTATTACAAGAGCATGACTTCCTGGTAAAGAAGTCCAGATGCTGAACTTTTCACCAGCTGAAAGCAGCAGCTAGAATCTTATATCAGGACATCATTCCTCTCCCAAATGTCCAGCAAAGCTCTCTTTTTAGTTTCCACACTTTTATTAAAAGAAGATGGGATGCTACACAGCGTTAAACGTGGCCATGATGCTGCCATCAAATTCAAAATAAACATCTGATAAGTTTAAAATGTTTTAAAGTGAGTCAAAACTGTGTTTGTGGAATTTGCAAACCATTGAACTTGTTTTTTATTCACACTTTACACAGCGTCCCAACTTCTTTTGTACTTGCGCTTGCAGCAGTACTGAGGTGAGGGCGGTCACTTACCATTTAATAGTGCTCTTGAGATTGGGCTGGCTGACGGTGCTGTCATCGAGGAATATGGTTGAACACGAGCTGTACTTTTTAGAAAGGAGTCCCGGGGACATCTGGCATCGAAAGCATGTTTAGAGACAGAATGAAGGGGAAAACGGGTTATAGAAACACATTCAACCCCAGAGAAATGAGATGTATGACTGTGAATCATTTCAGCAACAAAAAGACCCACGAAGAACACGCAGAGCCGTAACTTACGTGATTCATGTAGTTGCTTTTCCTTTTCTCGCGGACTGAAATTGGATAAAAAACAAAATCAAAGAGATGTAGGAGTTTCAGAAGAGAATGGGGTAAAGTATTAAAGCACCAGAGAAATACTGACCATCTGTCTGAGACTTGTTGAGGAATAGAGTGCTTGCTCTGGGGTGGTCGGATGGGTTGGCCTCTTGGGCCAGCTCTGTAGAAGGAAAGTGTTAGAAGTCTTCATATAAGACTACAGTGTTTGTCTAGGAGCTGCCACGCTGCTGCTGATTTAATGCTAAACAGCTCTTAAAGCATGTAAAACATTTAAACTGAATCACTTGCAGTAAACCCGCACCAGGACAGGACAACATCACTGCATGCAATCACATCTCCAAAAATAGCAAACTAATCTTCACACACCATCTGGAAGCTCCCTGTCGCTGATGTGCTGCAGGTATGTCCCAGTGTCCTCGCTCACATCTTCAGTAGTGGTGATGGGACACTCCTCCAGCTCCACCTCTCTCCTGTGGATCTTGGGGCTCTCTCCAGGAGAGATGCAGCAGGACACCGAACCTCCCATCGCTGACCTGCAAAAGTCCTGCAACAGCCAGCACCGCTTTCCATACAATTGAGGAGGGACCACCTGCTAGTCTGGCAATTCTGAAGCTGCAGGAAGGTCTGCAAGATCTTTAAGCCAAACCTTACAAGGGGTTGTTAGGAAAAATACATAAAACACTAGTTTTGCTCTGCCTTGGCGAGATCGGGTTCAATCACAACCTGGAAGTGTTCGGATTATTTGAAAATGTGCGTGTTGTGGACCAGCACAGCCCTTGTGTTTTTGCTGCAAAGTGAACGATCTCGCTTCAGAGCAGAACGGGATCTATGCAAGGACAGCCAAGTAAGTATCTGCGGTATGTGCAGGACGGCTGACATATTCAGGGTGTGTGCGCAACCCACGGATGGCGCACTTTAATATGAACTGCGTGCGTGGGCTGCATGGTTTGGGGCTGAGAATAACTGCTACCAAGTCATTTTACGGAAAACAGTCTAATGAGACGAAGTCAGGCGTTCCTCTGCCTCCCTCCATGGCTAGCCGGCTAACGCTAGCTTCCGCACCTCAATCCACTGCTGGCTCCTCCAGCAGCGTGACTCAATCCATTTTCACTGCGGCTCAAGTCTGTGTCACCGCTGCAGCCCTTTCAGCGACAGCACCGGGCGAATTCACCAGCCGGAAGGGTTTTTAGAGGAAACGGGGAAAGTGAACGGCCAGCGGGTATCAAAGCGGTGGCCGGAGGTGGCGTTCATCTCGTCGCACTAGCGGGACACAAGCTTTAGATGTCAAAGCGACCGTAGCAGGTAAGTTCAGAGGTAATTTCCTGCTTAAGGTTTTCAAAGTAAATGTCCGCTGGTGGAAACGCCAAGACCACGTGTGAAACTAAAAAAAAAAAAGAACAGATAAAAATAACTAATAAAATATTTATTAAAACTATTTAATCTATCTTCCTAAAATAAAAGTGTAAGCTGTTGAACTAAAAATAAAATAAAAAACTTAGTGAAAAGAAAACTGATTTGTTGTTCACATAAATAAAAACGTTAATGCTGAACACTCTTTCTTAACAGACACCTATAAAAGATAATAAGTCTTAAAATAATTTAAGCAACAGCCCAACATTTCAATACAGTTTTCATACGTTTCTCTTGTTTTATCTATTTATTTTTATTTTAGATTTATTTCCAAATCTTTGCTCAAAAACACCATGTATGTAATAATTCAACAACCTTTTCAACAACTAGGTTTTCATTTTTGTCTAATTTACTCAGCCAAGGGATGTTTTAGTATTTTTTGTGCATCAGTTATTTTCAGTATTATCAATAGATAGCTGCCATGGACCTGTAGCTGCAATAGATGCCATTGGTGGCAGGTTCTTACTAAGAAAATATCCACCACTGTGCAGCCTTTTCATATTCGATGAAAATGTGTATTTTTTTTTTTCTTTTTTATTTCTTATGTCTATACTCTCAGCACAGAGTGAGTCTCTTCACGCAGCTCAAAAACCCTTTATTTGCAGTACACCGGAAGCTACATCGCTGCTATGTGTTGCTACCTTTACAGACCTGCGGGGTTTTTTTCAGACCACGCCCCCTCCTAGCTAAAACACAACCCCGTTAAGAAAATCTTGCAGACACGCCCATCGCAAAGACTTACTCTTTTCCCATTGGTCACTTTTAGCTGGGCTGTTAAGTGATTGGCTAAATTTGTTCGTTGACGTCAACACGGGTTGCCTTCTTCAGTTGCCTGAAAGCGAATCGGTCTCTCGCGCTTCAGTATTTATTAAAGAAAACAAGCCAACTATCAACGCTAAAAGTTGGTTCATATACCCTAAGAACATTCTTTAACAAACGAATTAAATAATAGCTATATAATAACTCCAGAAGATGGCGGAAACGAATCAATGAGCCAGCCGAGGGAAAGCGTCGAAGAAGAAGGAGGAGCGCACTGCGCATGTGTAAACGAGTGTGGTTTTATTTATTTCAAACATGGCTCTCGTTCCCTATGTAGAAAACCCATTGCCTGCGCTTTCCAAACTCCACAATTCATCAGCACAGTTTAGGTTTGCCAACCGCGACCTCCGACTCGCTCAGGACTGGAAAAAGCTCGGTGTGGCGGCAGTTGTGTGGGATGCGGTACGTTACAACAGTGGCAGCAGTGCTTAGCTTCAATAATTCCTCCATGTTTCATTAGATTTATACATTACTATTGCATTTGTGTTACTGCCCAGGCGGTGGTCATGTGTATGTACTTGGAGCTGGGAAGAGTGGAGCTAAAGGGGAAGAAAGCAATTGAATTGGGAGCTGGCACTGGTCTGGTGGGCATTGTAGCAGCTCTGCTAGGTGAGTGCATAATTACTAACCACCAAAAACTGGAGGTGGTCGGATCACTCCAAACATCAGTAGTATCAGTACCAATGCTGCTATTGGTATCAGATCGATACTAGCCCAAAAGGATCAGCACTTTGGTTTCAAACCTTTAAGTTCAGTATGTACACAAAAGAACTGTGTTAAATAATTAATATAAAATAATGAAAAATATACACACATATATAACACATTAAAACAACAGAAGTTGACCCAAGGTGCTTTAGAGACAGGCTCATTTGGATTCCTTGTCTCCAAAACTAGTCGTGTGTGTGATACCAAATAAATACAGGGCCAATGCTGAAGACACCAATGCTGACACTTTTAACCTGTGGAGGCAGCATATAAAGGTCAGAGCAGTGTCATTATTTATGATAAATTGTCATCAATTAGTAAATTCTGATCACATTTTAATGATCACTAAATCACTGAAATTTTTGCTTTCCACAATAATGAGTTAACACAAAAAACACACCTTTCAGCAGTTTGTGTATTTTGAAACTGTGTTTTTTGGAGACCTTGAATTTAAATATGCATGTGTTAAAACACTGTAGGTCAGCTTCAGTTGTTTAAATGTGCTGCAACAGGCTATTATCACAGAGACGTCACAGTATGTATCGATCCTATTGGGCTAGTATTGAAGGATATTAATACCATCGATATTTGGATTAATCTGCCCACCTTTATCCAAAAACTGAAGGTGTTTTTTGTTGTGTTAACTCATTATTGTGGAAAATTAAAATCAAATTGATTTTGTGGTCATTAAAATTTGTTCAGGATTCATCATGACACACTACTCTCCGCTACATAATCTCCCTTCATAGGTTTAAAGTATCCATATTGATATCAGCAATACTGGCCCTGTATTTACTGTGTATCAGACCGATACCAAAATTTGCAGTATCTCATAGCACTATCAAAAACCCTTGAGAGTGTGGCGGGTGAACAAGGAAAGCTGTGATAGTCCTACTCTAACCCTTCCCTAGGTGCCAGAGTGACCATCACTGACAGAGAGCCTGCGCTGGACTTCCTCTCTGCTAACGTGAAAGCAAACCTGCCCCCAGATTCCCAACAATCAGTGGTGGTCTCTGAGTTGACCTGGGGCGAGGGCCTCGAGCGATACCCAGCTGGAGGGTTTGATGTGGTTCTGGGTGCGGATATCATTTACCTGGAGGACACATTTTTGCCTCTGCTGGAAACGCTGGAGCACCTGAGCTCAGACGCCACTGTGGTGTTACTGGCCTGCAAGCTCCGCTATGAGCGAGACACGAACTTCCTAGGCATGCTTAAGCAGCACTTCACCGTCGAAGAAGTCCACTACGACAAACAAAGAGACATACACCTATACAAAGCTTGCAAACTGACACGGAAGAGAGACTTGTGACCATTTGTTCGTTTTAATATATGAAATAAAATGTTTTAAAATCAGATTACCAGAAACACATTTATTAACAGCTGCCAAAAGTGTCATATCTGAATAGCTCTAACGTAATGCACTGTATTATTATACAAGTTGTTGCTGACATTTAGAAATAGTGAATACAAAAAAAATAAATGAGAAGCAACATAAAAAGCATACTATATCATGACTATACATAATACCTAAAGAATACAATATGGCATCCCATTATCACAAAAATATTTTCTTTTAGAACCACCAACACCACCTGATCTTACAGTCATTTCACAAAGTGGGTGCAGTTGAGTTGTATCTGGTGAGCTTTGATGCTCCATTTACAAAAAAAAAAAAGAAGTGATCAAACACATTGATGCAACAACATTTGATTAACTGCAGATGAGTGGTAGATTTACCCAGAAAGCGGTGAAATGCTGAAGGATTGTAAATGCAAAGAAAGTGCACATGCTAGCTCATATTACTATAAACAGAATTAAGAGACGGCGACCGAGGCCTCAGAGGGGCCCGGTATGGCAAATTTCCCCCCTCTGATGTAATTCCATGATTCCAGTGCTTTATCCACTTGTCTCTGAATTCTGCTTAAAAACTCTTTCATTGCATAACAAGTAAGGCTCATTAAGTTTTTGGTTATTGTTCAAAAATAATCCATGAGTCTATGGAGAGAGAGAAAAAAGAAAAAGGTTTTGCTTACAGTATATAATCTCTGATAAACGTGCAGCAGCTTATTTATCCGTTATTCCCACTTCCTGTACTGTCGAAGGCCTATTTTGCCTTTGTTTGTTTTTACCACCAAAATCTGGTAATTAACAGGACACCATTCCGCAATTTTCCACTTAATGTCTCTGAAGCTTTAAAAAAAATGAAGACAAAAAGTCTCCCCCCCCCCCCCAACTTCACTGCTGCCCAACTTTTACCATCTCCTCACTGTGCTGCAGTTAACATGAAAAAAACCATTTTACAACTAAATGGTTAGTTTTTTTTGTTCACGTTGTATAAAAGCAAAAATATACTTGGGTAAAACAAAGAAAAAAGGAACATGGCATTGTAGAAGCACAATCTAATTCAGAACAAACCAAAACACACATCTTAAAAGATAAAAACGTCCAAGACACAGGCCACCTATAAGTATAAGCATTAATAAGTAACAGATGTTAATTCGAAAGTTACAGATAGAAATGTTTCACGTGAAGTTATACTCTCCGAAAGGGAAAAGAAAAGAAAAAAGTTCCATCATCATTATCGGTGGTGCTTGCGGTCAGTTCCCCCATTGCTGGTGATGTTGCCCGGGTAGTCCGGGCACCAGTGACTGGAATGCTTCCCTTCGGTGGTGTCCTTGGCGAGAACAGCTAGTTTCCCTGCTCTGTCACCTTGCCACGCAGACCCTGTTTAAGTTGCAGTCTCCTCCACGTTCACTGTGAGCACCGCCTCATCCTTTTAATGGGGGAAAACTGGTGGTTGATTTCAAATTGCTCAAATGGGATGGGGGTTTTAAATTGCCTAAATGGGACAAGGTTTCAATTTACCAAAGTGGGATGGGGCTTTTGTTTTGTTTTTTTATACCTGGTGAGTCACGTTCACACATTTTTCAGCAGTTTTTAAAAAGAAAGCAGAAGAGTAGAAAAGAGGAGGGCGCATCCAGATGCATGGCTCTGTGCTGAGTCTCTGTACACAAGTGCTGGGGATCACCTGTCAAGCCACCGGCAGGTGTATTCTACTCTGATTTGTGGCAGTACAAGTCTTTGAGGGCTTTCAGTTCCTCGATGAGGGTTTTGTTCTGGTTTTCCAGCACGGCCACGCGGTTCTCCAGACACTTCACGTACTCTTTCTTCTTCCGACGGCACTCGCGGGCTGCCTCCCTGTGAGACAAGAGGATGCGGGTACATGAAGGTACAGCACATCAGCTTGACACCTACAGAAGCAATTGAGTACGAGTTACTAATTAACCTCGCCATACCTGTTTTTCATCAGTCGGACCTCCCGTTTGCGTGTGACTTCCTCAGTGGCTCCTGATCCGCTGATTGTGGGTGGAGTTGCCATGACCACCCCAGGAGTGATGGTGCTGGTGGGGGCTGTGCGGATTTGATAGGCCTGGACATCACCAGAAGCAGCTGGTGAACAAAGATAGACAAACAGTCAGTGCTTCATTCAGCAAAGCTTTACAAATCGTGTAGGTTTTGTGGAACTTCACTTCTAAACACTGTGGAAACCATTTTCCCACCTTGCACGACCACCTGGTTACTGGGCACGAGGATCTGCTGCCCGTCACTGGTCTGAGCATACTGCAGGATGGTGGCACCAGGCTGGGCTGCAGCAGTGTTGGCCATGGTGAGCGTCTGCAGGCCATCCGTGCCATTATTGGCCAGCTGAATGGCTCCACCCTGGGTAATGGCAACTGCAGAAGAATAAAATTGTGCATTAGGACTTTTAACCAATTGCTTTCTGTGTTGTTCTCCTCCATCCAATACTGTAAACATTACTGGATCATCGCATGTCTCAACTCTGTATATTTTTATATATTTATTGTTTACTCTATTTAATTTGTAAAATATGTGTACACACACACACACACACACACACACACACACACACACAGAAAAATATTTAGTATACACATCCAGAAATGCATATACTATTATATATTGTACATA